AAAAAAAAAACTTTACTTTAACTCAACAAGAGACATAGACAACAGTCAGAATTCATAGCTTCTTTGTACACTTACTGGAACTCCTTTTCTGCTTCTCTTCATCAGCCATCTGTAACCTCACCAAGCTCTCCCTCACATCCTTAAAGTGAATCCCTCCAATGCGTGACTCACTCTCCTTCTCATCCATTTCTCTTAACCGGACTAACCTCTCATTCAACTCCTGCAAAGAAAACCAATTCCCTTGCTTCTTCTCTGGCCGCAACATCCGCAGCTTCTCCCCCAACTGCACAGGGCTATAAAACTTTAAAAACTCCGTCTTCATTGAAGACTGGTCACTCTTTTCTTCGTCCCCTTTCATCTCCCGCCTCCCAAACACGGATATAGGCAGCTCCGCTGAGGTCCCTCCAATCACCTTCGATCCCAAATCCCCATACGACGGCTTCATCCTTAAATTATCCTTAAAACGTGACAGCGACAGTGGCTGCACGCCTCCCCTTTTCTCCGCATTCACGGCAGTGTTGGACCTCATTTGCCGCAGACTCTCTCTTATAGTATCAAGGGACAATTTCCCACCTCCCACAGCCCCTGGACCCGAAACATCGGCATTCACATTTGACTCCCCCGCTTTCTGCATAACATTTCTCTTGTACAGTTCTTGAAATGAAATAGCCGGCGACCCTGGCGACGGGGCAGACGAAGACTCATTAACCGGAGGCCCAGCAGCTCGCCGGCGGAACTCAGAGAGATTCTTGCGGATATCTTCGAGGGAGGCGGGTTTTGAGCTGGGAACAGTAGGATTGACGGATTTTCTAGAAAAAGGCGTGGCGGTGGTCTCTTGCCGATGCTTCAAGCTGGCTTTAACTTCACTGACGAATGAAGATATTGAAGAGTGACCGGAAACGCCATCGTTACGGTTGATATTGAAATTGGTTTTGGCATCTGGGTCATTTGGAGGGGGTGAAGAGGAGGATGTGGAGAAGAGATGGATGAGGGAGGGGTTTGTGAGTGATCTACGCTTGGGTCTGCTCAGATGCAGAGCCATGTGAAGGGGGAAGGGGAAAGGGAGAACAGTGGTTTTGGACAAAAGACTTTTTATTAGGGTTTTGGGAGAGGGGGAAAAGAATGTTCTTAATAGGGATAAAAGTGAGCGGTTGAACCCTGAATCATATTTGCAGGAGAGTTCAAGTAAAGGTGGAACCAAAAACCTTGCACTCTATATATATATATAGGAATTTATGTTTCATAAAGTAGATTTTATATTGAAAATATAATTTATTTTATAAATTTATTAAAATATTTTTTAAAAAATATATAAAAATAATTTTATTAAGATTTATTTTATTTAAAATATTTTAATAAATTGATAAATAGATTGTATTTTTAATATGTAATTTATTTTGTAAAATACTTTTTATTTTTTTTATATCCGGTTTTTTTTTTCAATGTTAAATTTATTTTACCATAAATAATTGGGATAATGAGATAATTTTCTGAAATCCTTCATCGGAATTGAGTTCCTAACCAAAGGAGTTCAGATTCCAAGTGTTGGTTTAAAATTAAAAAATATATATTAAAAAAAAATAAACGGAACCTCAATTTTTTCTTTTGAATAACAAAAGCTTTAGAGAAAAGAAAAAATATTATAATTATCTCAATAAAAACTTAAATTTGGGTATATAACAAAGTATTTAATGCAAATTACGATATTGTCAGCCCACTAAAGGCAGCTAGCGCAGAGAAGCCTCCAATTTTAATAACTCATTTCGTTTGAGGCAAGGAGAAACAAGAAATTTTCTTATTTAATTGATAAAAAAT